ATTAAATCTTCCAATACTTCTAGGACTCTAGTTTGTTTGTTTGTTTTTTTAATACATTTTTATTGATTTCAGAGAGGAAGGGAGAGGGAGAGATAGAGATAATCATTGACTGGCTCCCTCTACACTAGGGGTGTCGAACTCAATCAGAGAAGGGGCCAAAATCTAAAATCCAGCCTAAATCGCGGGCCGAATGGTTTACTGAACAGTCATAAACTGTCATTGTGATGGAAACGCAGTGGAGTGCAGTGATGACAGCTCGGTGCGGGCCACATTGCAAGGCCTGGCGGGACGGATTTGGCCCGCGGGCCTTGTGTTTGACACATGTGCTCTACACACTACATACTGGGCATTGAGCCTGCAACCTAGGCATGTGCCCTGACTGGGAATCAAACTATGACCTCCTGCTTCATAGGTTGAAGCTCAACCACTCAGCAGCATCAGCTGGGAAAGACTAGTATTTTTAATTACTATTTACCTCTAAATTAGTTACATGTCTTATAGATAATTTTTAAGTGCAGTTGAACATTAACTTTTCATATATTGCTTTTAAGTAACTTTAGATTAGTTATTACTATACTAGTATAAGCATAAAATAAAATGTATGTCAAAAGATAATTTGTAGTAGATTATTTCATCTTTTTATTTGCTATTCTTATCACTGAATGTTTTTACAGTACTGTATAATTCACTTTATTTTTTTAGGTTCTATAATCTCTATTTCTTAGTAAATTATACCATTAATTTATATTTTGTTAAGTAAATAATCTATTTTGGTGTTTTTATCAATACTTTAAAATTTTTCAAAGAAAAAAAGGGGGAATATAATGTCTATGTTTTGTCCTTAGGTATTAATGAATGCCCTTGATACACACACACACAGTGAGTCATAATAATCAAAGTGCAATTTTTTTAAACAGCATGAATCTGAGAGGATACTTACTTAGCCTATAACTGAGTAACATATACCTTTACTTTGGAATGAACATGGAGTAGAATGTGTAAGAAGGTACAGAATTTCTTTGTTAAATTTCAACCTAGTTTACTGCATGCAATTTTCTCCTTCTCCACAGGAACGGGGTTATCTTGTTAAGCATAACATGTATATTTGATGAATATATAAGTACACATTTTGATTGAGCCTGTGAACAATTGCTTGTCACTTGCTTTATTTCTTAATGTGTGTTGTACAGGTAGCACCATTAAGATATTTTATATGTGTCAGAAGTAGGGCGCCCAGAAGATGTTGGCAGTGTAATTACATAGTACATCATAAGTGGCCCAACTTTGGCACAGGGGAAGATTACTTCACTTTTGAATTAATCTGAATGACCCCGGCTTTATTGCTGTTGAGTTTCTAGAAATGATAAAATGTCCAGTCATCGGAAATAAAACGACAGAACCTAAACAACCTGACATGACTAATGCATAGTTTCTCTGCCTTGTTCCATATTCTGTAGATGTTTTATCAACTACAATATTTTATTGAGAAATTCTTATCTTAATAAATGTGTCTTCCACCTTCCTGAAATGTATTTCTCTTATGTAAAGAACAGAAAGCACAGTGCTCTGTATGTGTGTGTCTTATGTGCATTAAAACCGCAATACACATAAAATATATAGGTATTGAATCACTGTTTTACTTTTCTTATCTCTTAATTTTGGTAGGGCATCTTATTGGAATACTATGGAATCAAAATTTATTTGGACAATGCTATCACTTCAATTTATAAGCTTTCCAATGCCATTATGAAAGTTTGCAACTTGAAAGAAAGAAAGAAAGAAAGAAAGAAAGAAAGAAAGAAAGAAAGAAAGAAAGAAAGAAAGAAAGAAAGAAAGAGAGAGAGAGAGAGAGAGAGAGGGAGGGAGGGAGGGAGGGAGGGAGGGAGGGAGGGAGGGAGGGAGGGAGGGAGAGAGAAAGAAAGAAAGAACTGCTGCTGAACTTACAGTGATAGAGAACCAAAAGAAATAGTTGTCATCACATTTATTGTTATTGGCCTTATAAAATGTGCTTTTGCAGAACATCAAGTTCGTATCTCAGAATATTGCCTTGGAAAGGCAGGGCACTCTATCATCTATAATGTGTATAATCTGATGTTCTTCTGGTCACCTTCTGGAATTTTAAAAATTCTCCTGACATTGGAGGCTCTGGATTCTGGGTGAACTCTTCACCTTCACTAACCATAATTCCTAAGCGATGACACCAGACAAGATTATCTCCCTTGACTTTTGATTCTCTTATTTTGCTTTTAAATGTTCACTCTAACTCATAAACCTAGCAGGTAACTTGAAATTCTTCCCCTTAGTCAGATAGAATAACCAGAAATATCCATGATTTTTTAAAGTTAGATGCCCATATTTTTCTCAAGATTCCATTCAATACCCACAACCACACCCTCTCCCTGCTCCAGGGGGTCATCACCATCACTACCCATTTCTGCTGATGTCTGTGTTTGAAATCTGGAAACCAGTAGGCTTGACAGCTCTCTATCTCTCTACACACTATGTCTTTGATAATTATTCTTCATAAGCCTCCTAATTATATATCCTGTTGGATGAGGCTTTGCAATCCCGTATTCAACATAGAACTCAATTGCTCCATTTTATTAGGAAAAAATTAAGTCTTTCTCTAACAAGTATTTATGTACCTTGAGATTAGACCATGACAATTCATACTATAGATTCAAGGTTTTTAGTGTGTTTTTTTTTTTTTTCAGGCTCTTTATTACCATCACAAACTGAGAGGCAAAGGATGTGGAGACCTTTTTGAAAAACATATTTCTGTTTAATAGACATTAAGAAAAGAAGGCCCAGCCAGAGTTGCTCAGTGGTTGAGCATAGTTCTCAGAACTAGAAATCACGGTTCAATTGCAGGTCAGGGCACATGCCTAGTTTGTGGGCTCCATCCCCAGTGTGGGGTGTGCAGGAGGCAGCCAATCAATGACTCTCACTCATCATTGATGTTTCTATCTCTCTCTGTCTCTCCATTCCTCTCTGAAATCAATTTAGAAAAAAAAGAAAAGAGCAAAAAGGGATAACAAAAATAGTGCACATATTTATTCCTAGTCTTTTCTATTTGGAATTTGTCCCTGAGAAGTTTAGTATAACTTAACATAATGGTATCACGCACTCTCTTGGAACGTTAGACAGGAATTCAGGCATCCTCACATTTGTGAATATCTCAGGAGTACTCCACTAGGATCAGGGTTTAATATGGCCATTGGAAAAGCCCCATGAGGTATCACTTATGGAATCATGATTATTTAAACTCAGAAAAATTCCCTTTGAATATATATCTTCATTCTTCTTGTAGACAATGTAAAATGTGATTTTATTCTTTCTCTTTGCTCTGGTTGCCTCAAGTTCAGATCCTACTTTAATCCTCAGACGCTGAGCATCTCTATATGACAGCCACTGTATTAAGTTTTTAGGGAATAAAACCTAATAAAATATAAGTCTAGCCTATGAGAAGTGCCTAGTTAGACTTCTTAAGTCAAAATTATTTTATAATGTTTATAATAACACTTTATCATTGCCACTTGGAGTATTTTTATTTATTTATACTTATTTATTTCTTAAATTTGTTCTTCTTATATTCTCTGGAGGCTGCCATGCTATTAAATAATTACTAAATTAGTTAGTTAAGTATTTTATATCACCATAAAATGGTAAATTGTACTTTCTGTCCTTTATATGGAACCAAAGAAATTTGAGGTAAGTATTTAGCTCTCTTGAGCCTAAATATATTGCATGCCCCACTAAAGTTATGTCCATTGGAAAAATAAGGCTAATTTTAACATTGTAGGAACAACTGGTGGGTATCTTTTTTTGAGGGGAAGGGCAGATGCCAAATTTTAAGGGCTACCAGGTATAGTGAAATGACCAAATATTGAAACTTATTGTGAAAGAACTATAAGGCCAATAAAAATAATTGAAAAGAAAAGGAACTATTTGGTGGACTCTCCATAAACTGTTGATTGTTTCTTTTTTCTTTCTTATTTTGATTTGAACAGATTGCTATTTAATTCATTCATATATACTTTGATGTCAGTGAAATAGCTTATACTACATTTTTTCTTTATGTTATATCTTTAAAAAATTGAAATGTCTTTTAAACAATGTACATGTTTTCATTTTTGTGGGATATTATAATTTTTTATGATTCCAGTATCTTTTATATAGGTAGGGATTTTTCTAGGTTTTCTGACTCAATATGAAGTTAATTGTAATGTCAGTGCTCCATCTGCTGGTGGAAATGTAATCATTTTATTATTTTTTTAATGTTAAAAATATGGGAGCTAGAACTTTATATCCTAATTTTTAAGTTTGTAAAAGTGACTAGCAAGATATCCAGTACAAATTTACCAAACACAAGTTCAATATTAGACTATAATATGCTGTACTTAATTCAATCATAGATTAAAATGTGGATATATAATTGTTTTACATGTCATTTTTAGTTTAATGATTTATCCTAATTGTGTAAGTAGTCTAGCTAATTATATATTTATATTATTTTATATAGTTTTCATGTTGATTTATTTTAGAAAACATAACCTTTATTTTCTATAAATATTTAAATATACGTCTACTATCATCTATTTAATATATATTTGTGTGTGTGTGTGTGTGTGTGTGTGTGTGTGTGTGTGTACATCCTGATTTCTTTTTTATTAATTCCAATTTAATTTCATGGATATTACCACCTTCACATTAATATTAGGTACTCTCTGATGCTGTTAATATATAAAATATTTCATACTAACTTTAATTTAATATACACTACTATTTATAATACCCAATTAAAATTCTAGGAAAGGATCAATTACTCTTAATTATAATCCTTAACTTGACACTTATTGCCTTTCATTTTTTTAAATATGCTTTAAATATGATTTACTTTCTATAAATAAATCCTATAGAGTATATTTTTTCCAGCCTAAGAATCTTATTACAAACTTTACTAACTCTATTGTCAACACAATTTCTATATGTCCCATCAGGTATCTTCCATCTGAAAGTTCCTGAATCTTCTCCTCTTGGCTCAGCTATTGGAAGAATAAGAGCTGTGGATCCTGACTTTGGACAAAATGCAGAAATTGAATACAATATTGTTCCAGGAGATGGGGGAAATTTGTTTGACATCGTCACAGATGAGGATACACAAGAAGGCATCATCAAATTAAAAAAGGTACATAGACAAGTTTTTATAGACAGTTGACTACCCATTAATAATTAAAGAACAGAAAGACTGAAGCTTGAGATGACAGCAATTTTAATTTTCCTTCAGTTAACAATATTTCAAATAAAAAGACCAGTTGTTTATAACATATTCACTCCCACTTGCATTTTTTTCTGTGATTCAACAGGTATATATTTTTGTGGAAACATTCAGGTCTATTAGTTTGATTAAATTATTAAAAAGCCTACCAGAGTTTAATTGATTTTCAATTTTTATTGTAACAATTGTAGATTTAAAAATTAATGTAAAAATAGGGTGTAGAAGTAAACTTTATCCCCACCAGGCTTGGTCTTGCCTCTTTTATGACTTTTCTGAGAATACAAATATCTAACTCACACAATGCTGGGTGAATATTAATATTATAGTGGAGGAATCCTGATGTGGGCAAGCTCTACTACTGGAGGAGTGGACAAAGTGAGAACAATAAACAAATTAAAAAGCACTGACAACAGTGCTACATTCAAGTTTTAAAAACATAAAGAGTGAAGGGATGACCAGCATAATGAAGGGTGTTGGTAATCTTATAATGGTCAGAAAAGGCTTCTTTATTAGGGTGAAACTGAATCAGAGATAAGCAGTGAGGTTTTCTTATTACTGATTAAGAAATTTAGGCAACTAAATAATGGGATGAATACTTAAATTATGTAAAAGGACAAATCAATATCTTGTGTGATTTATCAAATAGTTCCATATCACTTCTACAAAAAGTATTTATTGAGAATTAATAAGTAATGATATCATGTTTAACATAAAGAATGCTGATATAATAGCCTATTTATTTTAAAATAAATAAAACTTACAGGAAATAGAAAAACAATCCTTATTATTTTTATGTTATTTGGCATTGTTATTTCATTTCAAATAAACATAGCTGTAATCCCAATAAATCTAACAAAGAATTATTTTCTTTTTTCTTAAAAACATGAGATAAGTGGGGCCAGGGTGGCTCATTGGTTGAATGTCGACCCCTGAACCAGAAAGTCACAGTTCTATTCCCATTGTAGATTGTGGAGGAGGCAGCTGGTCAATGATTCTCCTTGTGATTGATCTTTCAATCTATCTCCCTTCCTCTCTGAAATCAATAAACATATATTTAAAAAACAAACAAATAAAATCCTAAGAGATAAAACACTTCATTCTTCACCAGGACTCTAATAAGTAGGTTAAATTCTCAACTGATCCCATTGAACACTTATATTTTACTTATGCCTGTCAGTCACTAAAAATCACTTCTTTCTGTAGTCTTAAATGGCACGGAAATGAGTTCACATGATTTGGTAGCAGAGCACCATCATGTGGTTAATTATTTATATATAGGCAAATATACACCTGAATTTAAATTTAAATTATGTTCTATTTAGCTAGTCTGTCACGCAGAATTTCAGAAAAAATTAAGGGTTTATTATTCGTTTCTGCAAACAATATGTTCTTGCAAAGTTTTGTCTTGATTTTTTTTTTTTTTTTTAGCATCTGCCTAACTCTCTCATTCAATCTCATCTCATCAACTCTAAATTAGCCCCAAATTGACATAACTGAGGCAGATTGGTTGCTGCCTTATAGACATTTCTGTGTGTTGCATAGTCTTTTCAAATTCAAAATGTCTAAAGCTGAATTCCCTCTCTACTCTCAACACAAGCATGCCTGCTTATGTTTTCTTCTACCTGGATAAGGCCCCGCCTCCTCTCCAGTTCCTTAAACCAGGAATCAAGGTTTTTTCTTATGCTGCCTCCATGGCCATTGGCCTCCCCTTGGAAAGTAAAACATGAAGCCCAGCCACTGATTTCTCCTGACTGGGGTTAATATTTTTTTCATGGGTTAAGTTACATCCCTCCTCATTACTCCTTTCCACCACTGTCATGGCTATTCTCTGAGCTTTATACCTTACCTTCATCCAACTGGCTGATAGCAGATTCTTTTCTCTGTGGCTTTAAGACTGAAGTCCCTATGTTTTTGCTAGCTATTGGTCAAGGTCCAGTCTCTTTTCCTATAGGCACCCTTTAAACAGTTGCCAGGTTACTCAAGGCCCAAGAAAATCACCTATCGTCTGTCTTTCTTTTTAAGTTCACATGATTAGATTAGAGCTTTCAAGTAAATTCTCTTTTAATTAACTCAACATCCAGTAAGAACCTTAATTATATTTGCATAATTATTTTTCCATAAAACAGCAAATTCGTGGGATGGTATCCCATTCAGTTCACAGGCCTCTTACACATTCAAGGACAGGGGATTATACAAAAGTACAGGTCACTGGGACAGGGATCTTATGGATATCTTGGAATTCTATCTACCAATGCCTCTGTTTTTCCAACTCCTCAAAATATAAATCTAGCTATGCATTTCCGCTCAATATTGTCTAGAAACATGATGAATTCCAGAAGAACTAGGGAAGTTATTCTCTTGTATTTGACATTGAGTAAATTAGCTTACTTTTATAATTATAGAATTCTGTCATAGAATTTTTTTTTCTAGCAAATGGAATCCTGGCTGTTCTATTTTTATTTCAAATATCAGAGTTTTTGTTGATTGTAAAGTAGATGAATTTCATTCCTTGACACCACCCCATGTCTCCCTCCATACAAAAAGTAGAGGGTAGTCAGTGATATGAGTTGGATAAAGTTACCTAGAGAGAGATCAATGTTATTTGTCTTTCTGAACTACTCAGTTTTTAAACAGTGGCATTGCCTAAGGGTTAGGGTCGTGAAGAAGTAAGGCCTTCTAAAATATTATTGTAACATTTCTTTTATAATTTTCTTTAGTTCTTTGATCATTGCAGGATATTAGTGTTCAGTTGTAGAAAAAAATGAAAATAAAAATATGTTTGTACAGAAAAGGTTCTTTCATCTCATTGTATATCTCCCTGACCACCAAGGGTTTGCCTGCTGTGATAAGTCAAGAGATCTTAAAAGGAATAGGTTATGTCTGATTTCCTTAAAAAATGTATGAAAGGTATGAGAATCCCCCCTTCATTTCTAGGCTTGCGATGGACTTTAAAGTAGAGAGTCAAGCCTGGCAGTTGTGGCTCAGAGGATGAGCATCAACCTATGAACCTGGAGGTCACAACAGTTCCATGCCTTCCCACACTCTGGTCAAGAACATGCCTGGGTTGTGGACTCAACAACTCCCAGTAGGGGATATACAGGAGGCAGCTGATCAATGATTCTCTCTCATCAATTATGTTTCTATCTTTTCCTCTCTCTCTGAAATCAATAAAATATATTAAAGTGAAGAGTCAAATCCATGAGATAGCTGTGGAATTTTAAACAAATCAGTAAATAAAACTGAGGTCTTCTCTGGAAAAAAAAAAATTGCCGAATCATATAGATAATCAGTGGTATTCCAATCTCCAGGAAAAAAGTAGAGTGCAAATGAAGAAAAACTGATACTAACTCCTCCATTCTAGGATAAAAGTTAATTCTGGGACATAAAAAAAAGGAAGTAGTAGCCAGGGAAGCTCAAAATAATTTCTAGGCAAGAACTCAAGGTGATAAAAGTCAAAATATTCTTCCCCTAGAAGTTAGGGATGATTATAATATAAAAATCATGTTGTTTAACATTCACTGACCATACAGAGCGAACAAAAATAAATATATGTTTCTATGTTCTTTACTTTGGATTAGCTAGTACTCTTTCTTATACATCCATCTGTCTCAGATATCTCTTCACTCATCAGATTCCCCCTGAACACTTCAAATGACTTGGAACTTAGTACTTCTTCTAACAACTCATTCTTTAAACAAAATAACATGTTTCTCTCTGAGTCTGTTGACTGCAAAGAGAAAGCAAACCTTAATTGTCATTGTATCTTACTGTCCTCAAGATGGCTAGGTGAGCTGAAACTGGTTTTGCTCAGTGGATAGAGCGTCAGCCTGCGGACTGGAAGGTCCCAGGTTTGTCAAGGGCATGTATGTTGGTTGTGGGCACATCCCCAGTAGGGAGTGTTCAAGAGGCAGCTGATTGATGATTCTCTCTCATTGATGTTTCTAACTCTCTATACCTCTCTCATCCTCTCTATAAAAATTCAATAAAAAATATATTTTAAAAAAGATGGCTAGGTGACCCCCTAAGTTAAGTTATTACTTGACATAATATTTTTAATTTAATTAAGTTAGAATGATTTAATTTGTTAAAAATATCTTAATTTTCAAAATCTGAAGTTATAATTTTAATAACTAAAATTGTTATTAATTATTCTATAAGAGATTAATAGAATAAGCCTATCCGATATTTAATATGATAGCTTTTCAATGTGTAAAAATATATGTCCTGTCTTGCTTTGATCTTCATTCTGAGCTAAACATTTCCAGTTGTATTTGCGACAGTTTCATGTTTTTCTCTTGAATAATGTTTTGCAATCTGTCTTGCAAATAGGAGTTTCATAAGTTGCTACCTTTAACAAAACAAGGTGTTGGCCAATTAAACAAAAGCATCAGAGGATTATCTTCTCTGCTTTTTCAAGACATATAAACAATAACTATAATATCAACCATAGCATGTTAGTATGACTTCCTTACTTTTATTGGCTTCATTATAAATATACACCCTTACCAGGAAGAAGATGGAAATAGAAGAAAATTGATGTTATATGTAAATAGTTATGAGATGAGCAACTAAAAATATTTTAAAAAGTAAAAGAAAGCATTAAATATAAAGCAGATAAAATATGAATAAAAATGGATGAATAAAATAAAACAAAAGGAATAATTAGAGGAAAAGTAAACAGATCCCTCTGAATAAAAATTACTGTGGGGGGAAAAAAACTATGTCAAGTCCAAGAGGAATTACTGTTTTGCTATAATAACCTTCATGGAATTGTGATAGTTTTTTAAGATTTCACAGTCATTTTTAGATTTTCCTTTTCCATCCTTAGAGAAAACACATAAAACAACAACGTTGTCCTTGAAAGAGAGAACTAGACTTCCTTTATTTCCCCAAGGTGTACTGAGGTAAAGAACAGATGGGTCCACACAGCAATTAGCAAGTCTAGCAAGTCCTAGGAGTCACACAAGAAGGAATTAATTTAGAAAGTGAAGTTTTAAAGGCCCCAGTAAATCTTGAAGTTAATGTTAATTTCACATTGTCCTAACTTTTCATAGGTGGTCAGAAGTCAGATTCATTGACCTTAACCTTTTTATTTATATAAAGTTCCACAGCAACACCATATTTCCGGAATAAAGTATTTTTAGTTATTGGTAACATAAAACTAATAGTCAGGGGGAAAGTGAATATAAATAGTAAAAAAGTTAAAATAGAGAATCAGTGACAAATGACTTCCAAATATATTTCAGTTTTCTTTCATTTGATTATATATGTTTAAAACCTTAATTATTGGCAAAAAATATTGTGACAATGCCTAATAAGTCCAGTGTCTGGTAATTATATGTCCAAGCTGAGAAAACAAAAGACGAAAACTATTTTCATAACGAACACTGTGCAAGTTTTATAAATCTTGATACAGTCCTTTTTTTCTAGTGGAAAGATCTACACATTTAAATGTGTTTAGTATAAAATTATATTTTTGTCAAAATAGGCAAAATAGTCCAAGGAGAAGAAACATATATTCTTATACCAAGTTTTTAAGTGGCTCCTAAGGATTATCTTTAATTATCCAGTTTCAATTTTGTGTTATAATTGCTGCTATAGTCCACCAGGTGTCAGCATTGTATAAGAGCAGAAAAAATACTTCTCTTAAGAGCAGCTCTTTTGCTGTTTTACCTGCTCAGATACAATGAACAAACCCTCCTTCGCATGGATGCGCACATACATGTCATTATTCATGTATGCAACTGGTTATCCTTGAAAGTCACCCATAATCTTCTAGAAGGGGGGCGATTCGTTTCTTAAAACACCCCCTTTACCCACTAAGGGTCAGGGACAGCGAGGTATGGAAACCAGCACAGAAACCACTACAATGTGCATTCTCTTGCCAATGACCTGAAGCCTTGCTCGCCGCCTCTGAGCATCCTGCGAACGCACCTCCTCCCGTTTGGTTTGTCCCCGCTGCAGCCGTTGGATTTTGAAACCAAGAAGGCGTACACGTTCAAAGTGGAAGCCTCCAACCTGCACCTGGACCACCGCTTTCACTCGGCGGGGCCCTTCAAAGACACGGCCACGGTGAAGATCAGCGTGCTGGACGTGGACGAGCCGCCCGTGTTCAGCAAGCCGCTCTACACCATGGAGGTGTTCGAGGACACGCCGGTGGGCACCGTCATCGGCGCCGTCACCGCGCAGGACCTCGACGTGGGCAGCAGTGCTGTGAGGTAAGATTTAACAAAAACAAACAAGCAAGCAACAACAACAATAAAACACTTTTCTCTCTCTCTCTCTCTCTCTCTCTCTCTCTCTCTCTCTCTCTGCAGAAAAAGAAATCAAAGCATTTTAAAAACACTCTGTCCAAGCCTGCAGGGAAACAGAGTGGCTTCTCCTGGATATTAGTGGGAAAGCCACAGGATCTGAACAAACACCTCTGACAGTAGATCCTTGCAGTGGCCTTTGGGTAGTGGTGTGATGCTGGCCATGCCACTCAAGCTAACCAATCTCAACTGCCATCTATAAAAGGGATTTAATAATACAACCTCAGAGGCTGGTTCTCGAGATGAGTGACAAGAGATTTTGCAGTGCTGGGGATATGATAAGCATTTAATCCGTGTTTCTAAAGTCTCTGCCTTTGGCCCAAAGTTTTGTTGGGAAAACATTTGCAGTCGGCCGTCACAGTTGTGTCTGCTGATGGAAGCACAGTTGGAGTCAGGCCTTGGATAAGTTGAATGACGGAATTTCTCCAAACCCACATTTTTCCAGGAGCTTCGATTGACATAGGGCTGCAGGGTAGTGTGTCCACAAAGCAATCGATGGAGTAAGAAAGTGTAAGAAATCTCTCTCCTCATCCCCTCAAGCCCCTAAATTCCACTTGCACTAACTGAAACCCGGTGGGGTTTACCCATTTCTTCACTCATACATTGACCCTGCAACATCTTTTGAGACTTTTTCTACTTCAGCTTTGCTCCTTATCTACCTTCAAAGTCCTTGCCACAGGCCGACACATAGCATACAAGAACCATACCAAAGAAGCATTAAGTAGGCTTTATAAAAAAAAATATATATTTATTATTACATTTTAAAAATATTTATTGTTGAAAGTATTGCATAAAAATGCAAAACACTACTCTATTGACATAGGGAAATATATACAGACACATAAAGCATAAGATTTTATGCCATGGGGTAATTAATGAAAAAGAATGGATTTAAGCATAAAAGCATAGCCTCCACATACCCATAGCATATAGGAAAAATCTCAGGAAATGTGTTGAGAGTGTGAGAGTGTTACGGAAAACGGAAGAAGAACAAAGCAATACTTAGAGAGATAGAGTTACATTCATTACGCGCGGGTCCAGAGGAAAATGTATCTCAAATTCTGGGCCCCAACATGCAGGAATTCTCCATATTTATATGATCCTACCCTCTTTGTCTCCCAAATATGGAGTGTTTCCAACCCCCTTTTGCAAGTTCTTAAAGAGCCAGTGTCTACTGGGGCCCTGAGACCTCAAACAGAGGCCTGGCCTGGTGCCAGCACTGATGAACTTGTCTGGGGAAGGTTAAATCCACAGAAGCCAAATAGCAGGGTTAACATTTCAAACAGCAGTTTTCATACAAGATGAATGCTTCAAGAGCTGCTTTTGTATTCATCTGAATCCATCCTCCAAAGTGGCTCAAATATGTTTCTTCTTGAAGCATGTCTGTCTGTGATCAGGAGAGAACCCTAAAAAACAACAACAACAACAAAACATGTGTTTTGGGAAAGGGAAGTCAAATAGCAATTGCTGAGTGCCCCTATGTGTCAGGTGGGATGGGGGCTAATTTACTCACTGGATCCCAGATGTTGTTCTACATGTCCATATACCAACATGATTCACTCCAGGAAACTGTATTTATTGCCAGTGCCTGAAGGGCCTTCTCAAGGAGCTGCCATGTCAGTAGTTGTTATATACTGAGTCATTCATCAATCTTGTTCCCGAGGCCCCTAGTGATAATTATGAAAGTAGGAAGTGTCCAGTGAGTACATTTGCGGGTACTTTCAAGAATATAAACAGCTGCAGAAGGAGTTTTGAAGGTTGTAAAGGAAGTAATGTGGAAGTAAATAAATATGGATTGACACTCCCTACAGTGCAATCAATGGGGAGACTTCTGGAACATAGTGGAACACGCTATCTTGGAGAACATGCTAGGTTGTTTACATTTACAGTATGTTCTATTTTTGAGGACTGATAAAGCCTGTTTATATCAAAATGTTAGTAATTTATGATTTAACTTAATACTTGAAAAGAAAAACCAGAGAGTCTGTAAGTACAATTTTACATTCAGTACAGAGAAGGCAAGCATTACTAACTTTCAAATATAAGGAAATGGTTAGAATCAAAACCCTCGTGTGAGAAATAAAGGAAAGCCACAGTTTAGAGAAACTCTCCATCTATAAATCAATTTTTTTTAATGTCACAGGAGCTGGTGTCTGACAAGAGCTGTTTTATGTGAAATGAAGTAATATCCCCAAGTCTTCCTTTCTAAAGGGTACTGACTCACTAGAGCTATAGACCCAGATGGGTCCCCGGGAGGGGTTGTCAAAAGATAAAACGGCCTTTGAGTCAACATGAAAGTTGTCTTTCTTCCATGTCCTTGGAGTAAACAATAAGCTTGAATCATCGGTTGAGGAAACACAGGGTATGAATCATCTTTTCTGGCCTGGAAATATGTTTGCTGACTTAAGATTGATGGTAAAAATATGTTTTGTAAAATAAGCATCAAAATGTCAAATTATTTGACATATGTAGATAGGGTCTGTTTGTTTCATTTTATGTTTCTTAACTGTCTTTCCACAGGGTTATTTTGTGAGGTATTTATTTAGGACTCTGCTATTCTATACTTCTGGGCATTTGTTAATATTTCTTTTTTTTTTTTTTTTTTCCATCACTGCACACAGCAAAGAACCGGAATGAAATGACACTAATCAAGGATTCAAAGAGTTTAGAAGGAAGGTTCAGTTAGTTGGAATGAATCCAAATGACCCATCTCTGATCTCTCCTGCCTGGGCTTTAATTTCCCTTTTTTTCATCTTGTGGAATTTTTTGCTCAATTTTATTTTCTATTAGTTTCAAGTATACAGCATAGTAGTTAGACAATCATATCCTTTACAAAGTGATCCCCCCACTGTTTCACGTAACCTCCTGCATCATACAAAGCTATCACAATATTATTGTTTATGTTGAGTATACTGTACTTTACTTCCCTATGACTATTTGATAAGGGCTAGTTTTTACTTATTCATTTCTTCACCTTTTTTCCTGGTCCCCCAATGCCTCTTCCCTCTGGAAATCATTAATTAATCATCTGTATCTATGAGCCAGTTTCTATTTTGTTTTGTTTTTTAGCTCATTTTCTTCTTTAGTTCCCACATATAAATGAAATCATGTGGCATTTGTCTTTCTCTGTCTGACTTATTTTGCTTATCATGATTACTTCTACATCAAGCCATCACATATGGAAAGATTTCATTCTTTTTTATAGCCAATTAATATTCCATTGTATATATGTACCATTATTTTTAATCAACTCATCTACCGATGGGCACTTGGATGGCTTCCTTATCTTGGCTATTAATATAAATAATGCTGCAATGAACCTAGGACTGCATATATTCTTCAGAGTTCGTGTTTTGGATTTCTTAAACTTGGCATTTGGAAGGATGTAATATGCAAATTATCTCTAAAGAAAGAGAAATACATCAGAATCAAATATTATTAAAATTATTTTCCTCCAATTGCTTAAGCTTTCCTCATTTACTATTGAGAGGAGTTAGAAACAGGATTAGGCAGACAGGGCAAAAAGAATGAAAGGAAGGAGGAAATATGGACGTGACCTTTGCAGCCAGCTAAGACTGTTCCAGGGTTTCAGGGCGGGAGAAAGAGGGAAACTGAGACAGGAAAGTTAAAACATGGCCAAACACTGTGGGCGATTTGCAGCCAGCTTGTATTATCACTAGAAAACCATTGTCTTCACCGGCCAGGGACACTGGAGCAAATGCTTAAAAAACCTCCCTGATGAGAGAATGCAGAAAGGGAGGGGGAGGAGAGAAGGAAAAAAGGGCGGTTTGGCTCCTTATGCAGAGAAGCCAGCAGTCTCAAGGCTTGGCAAGATACAGTTGCCAGGTGCTTTTCATGAATCCTGGGAAGGCCACAACAAAGTAAAAAAGGGACCTTGAGCATTAATCTGTACCAAAACAGTCAGCAGAGGAATTTTGAAGCCTCTTCAGATTACCTGAGAGCCCATCTGTGCTTCATAAGCCAGATGTATCTACAGGTTCACTTGCTTTGCGGTTGCTTTTTTTCCCCCAATATAGGTGCATGCTTTAGTTGCTTGAACAAATTGGCTTTTCACAATGCAGTCATGGTCGCTCCTATGAATTCATTTGTATGAGAAGACAAGGACCAAGGTTGGGGACAGCCCTCTCTCTCCCACTGGCTCAGGGGGCTGTCCTGTCCAGTCACGTTCCTCTGGTGTTGGTGAGGGGTGCCTATAACATTATTACTTTTTAACAAATGAATACTTCCTACTGTGACTGGAATCATTATCCCTACATCTTTATATTGTAGCTTAAAGAAGGAGATGAAATATTTTCAGAATAACTATATCTTTCAAATGTGTTTTACAAAATGTGTCTGAGAATTGAGTTGGATCAAAGTTAGCTTTTCTATTGAATGTGAGAAAGTTATTAGGCAAAAATAAATAAATACATAAATAAATGTAAAAAGAATGCTTACCTAATAGAGAGAATAAAACTTTTCAAAAGCATTTCTGAAAACTAATTTACAGAAAAGTAATAAATTTGTACTCTGTCAAGTAACCTATACAGATTAAGTTAATATTTTAATTTTTGATTTCTATTCAGTTGTTAAAACAGGTTTCTTAGCAACAGTCACTATGCATACATCTACAAATTATAGATTTGCTTCATTTTATATGGGTCATGAACATTTTTTGTTGTTTTTTATTTGAATCTCATATTCTATCTACTCATCAAATAAGTATAAAGTATATATTTAAGGATTTTGTTCACTTAAGCAGGTGAGTTAGGCCAAATTAGAGCTTTCATATTATACTCTTGTGATTAGTTTCAATTAAAATATCATTCTACCCTAAGATTGAATGTGGACTGTCATAAAACCAATGTACACATTGGTGGTTCACTCTGAGGGTATACATCTTAAAA